GTTCTCCTGGATTGATCGCTCCAAGGAGTGTATTTGCCTGATGTAAATGTTCACCCCACATGCCTGTCTATTTAACTGGAAGCCACAGGAGTGAGTTCAGTCACAGACCTGACAGGTAACTAGGGGCCGTAGTCTCAGGGGTCTCAGCAGGCTCTATCAGACCAGCAAACCTGTTTTTTTTTTTTTTTTTTAATGATTTTGTGAGATCTCTCCCAATTCTGAAATGTTGAAAACAAAATTGAGAGAAAAAAAGAGTAACCCCCTCCCCCCGTGGCCTGGTACGAGCGGCCCCTTGTGCCTTCGTTGTCTGGTGAAGCGGTGCTTCTCCGAGGACTTTGGTGGGGTGAAGGTGGTGGCAGGCACACAGTGTTCCCTGCAGGAGTCTTGGAACCCCCATACCTGGCCCAGGGGATGTGGGCTCCTCACCAAAGTGAAGCATACTCTTTCTCCTCTCCATCTTGACAGCCTCCCCACCCAGTGAGCGGAAACCTGAGAGTGGAAGCGGAAGCCGCTGGGGGGCCTGAGGGTTTGGGGACCCCACTGGTAGCCAGGTCAGATCTCTTCTTTGCTTGCACCCCCCAACCTTGAGAGGGAGCTGGGGCAGATCTGGAAAAAACACATGAATCCCAAGTCTTCCTGAGGTGGGGGCAAAACGACAGGGCTGGGGGGACTTCTGGCCTCCCCGTTTCCTAAGTCCACTCTTAAGGAGTGAGAATTGCGTGTCCCACAGACCCCCCCGCTGATCCAGGAGGCTTCAATGCAACCCAGGGCCTTCAGGGGACAGTCCTAAGACCTTTCAAAGCCCTGTGTGCTGGGAAGGATGCCCCTGCCGCCCTCCCACCCAATGGCTTTGAAACCAAAGAGAAGCAGGAGGCGGGCCAACCAACCACAGTGACTCTGGCCAGGCCTCTTTGAAACACCAGATTCCTGATGGTTTCAAAACGTTTCTTTGTTTTTATTTATTTTGGTGCCTCTGCTTTGTTGATATCATCCATACCTGCTGGTAAAGTGGTTCTCATGAGCCGGCAGTGTGGACCAGGGAGTTCCCTCCCCATGATCCCCTCCTGGCCAAGAGAGCATGCGGCCCAGGCTCGGACCCTGGCCCGGAACCCTCAACACCGGGAACCCTGTTGGTCTGCAGCTACGTGGGGAACAGGATCTGGGAGGGACTTCCTGTTGTCCCTGATCCCAATCTCCACCCGGCTCCCCGCGCCCACCAGGTGCAGGCTGCAGAGCCTCCTGTCCTGGGGCGGGGGGGCCTGGCCGCCGGGGTGCCCTCTCTGCCTCCGCCTCGGTGGGCAGGGCTGCCGGGGAGCACCTGGGTCTGGAGAGGCAGGTGTGGCTTCAGCCTGCCGAAGGGACCGGAGGCAGAGCTGGGCAGCTTCAGCTGGTGGGGAGAGAAGGACCTGGCCCCGGGCCGGGGCAGGAGAAGGACAGCGAACATCATCCCCTGGGACCTCGAGCAGGTTGGACATCTTGGGCTCCGGGGCGGGGACGTGCAGCTGGGAGCAGACAGGTCAGTGTCTGGACCGTAGGCAGGTTGGGAGCCAGGCCTGCGCTCAGGTGCGTGTCCAGGGCGTGGGGGGCAGACGGGCGAGGACTTCCGCCCTCACCGGGCACCTGTGCTGTGAGCTCTCTGCGGAACATTCTGCCCCTGATGACAGGACAGGTAGCGCAGGTCTTCCTGCGCCGGTGGTGGTGACACGTGGGGCTCTAGCATCAGCGGCAAAGGGAAACAAGCAAACGGACAAAGGTGGGGCCGTTCGATGGAGGGGGCAGCAGGCGCTCTGGCGGGGGCTTTCCACGGGACCCCAGGCAACCTGGGCTGCTTTTCTCTGCCTTTCCAGGACCCACACAAGGGGAGCAGCACCCCAGCCGCAGTGTCTGGCTCTGTGGGCAACGGTGTCCGCGGATGGTGGGGGAGTCCGGGCTACCCAGGACCTGGAGGAAGGCCGACAGGTAAGGAGGCGGCTGGGGCGTGAGCACAGCCTGGAGGGGCCTGGAGGCGGGAGGGCGTTTTCAAGGCAGAGCTTCTGGACCAAGGGAAGAGCAGGCCTGAGGTGGGGCATTGAGTCACAGCAACCCTGTAGGACAGACTAGAACTGCCCTGTAGGGTTTCCAAGGCGGTCATCTTTATGGAAGCAGATCGCCAGGTCTTTCTGCAGAGCGGCTGGTGGGTTTGAACCGTCATCCTTTTGGTTAGCAGCTGAGCTTTTAACCACTGTGCCACCAGAGCTGAAGGGGTGCCACCCCAGCCAAGCCCTGTCCTGGGAACGGTGCTCTCTTCACTATGAGGCCTCACACACTGTGCTCACCTGGAGGGACTCCTGGCCCGTAGCAGCTATGGGGAGGAAGAGGCCTCACGCGGGACAGGAAGGGGGCCAGGCCGCGATGCACTCACGTGGCTTCTGACGTGTCACCCCTCTGCCCAGGACCCAGCCTTCCATCCCCTGGCCCCCACTCTCCCGGAACTGTACACACACCCCCTGCCCCCAGCCTTCCTCCCCTGGCTGGGCTCCTGCCCCTGGGCAGGCTCTGGCTCCCAGCCTGTTCCTGTACCCTGGGGAGGCAGGGTGGGGGCTGGGAGGAGCATCAGTGGGGTGGGGGGAGTGGACAGTTTAGGTGGGGAGGAGAGCGGTCTCACCTGGCTCTCACGCCTCCTCTGCTGCCTGGAGCCAAGAGGAGAGCAGGTGAGGGACTCAGTAGCTCCCACCTCTGAGTCTCTCCTCCCAGATCTGGGCCCCTGGTGCCCACTGTCCCCGCCTGGTCCATAGCCCATGGGAACCACAGTGCCTGTGAGAGGCTGAGTTGAGAGGTGAGGCTGAAGCTGGGCCTCACTTTGCCTCCCAGGTTACCCGAACACCAAACGCACTGCTGTCGGGTGGATTCTGACTCATAGCGACCTATAGAACAGAGTAGGGCTGTCCGGCAGGGTTTCCACGGCTGTCATCTTCATGGGAGTGGAGGATATCTTCCTCCCATGAAGCAGCTGGTGGGTTCGGACCGACTACTGACCTTCTGGTTTGCGGCTGAGCACTTAACCACTGCACCAGCAGAGCTCCTTGTAAACTGAACTGAAAATCAAACCCACTGCCATTGAGTCACTTCCAACTCATAGCGCCCCTAGAGGTCAGAGTGGAACTGCCACACAGGGTGTCCAAAGGCTGTCAATCTTCACAGAAGCAAAGCTCAAACTCTACCCAATGCCGGGGAGTCCATTCCAACCCACAGACCCACAGCGCCCCTAGAGGACAGAGTGCAACCACACCACAGGGTTTCTAAGGCTGTCAGTCTTCATGGAAGCAACTGCCTCATCTTTTTCCCAAAGAGCGACTGGTGGGTTGGAACCGCTGACGTTTTGGTTGGTGGCTGAGTGCTTTAACCCCTGTGCATTGGAGCGCCTTCTGGACTTAGCTTTGGTTGTGAATACCAACAGAAGTCAAGTATTCCTGTTACCGTTTTCATAGCGTGGAAGGATGGAGAATCGTGGACACTGTTATGGGTCCCTTTGTGAGTGACTTTGGACAGGCGAACCTCGGAGAGATGGTGGGTTCGGGCCCAGACCACCACAATAAAGCAGATACTGCGAGCAAGTGAGTCACACGCATGTTGTGGTTTCCCAGGGCCTACAAAAGTCACGTTGACACTCTACGGCGGTCTCTGAACTGGGCGCTCACATGATCAGAAAGTTTGAAATGTTATGAGAGTGACCAGAATGGGCCATAGACAGAAGTGAGCACACGCTGTTGGGAAAATGGATCACAGACAGGAAGTGAGCACACGCTGTTGGAAAAATGGCACTGATAGCCTTGCGTTTGTGAAAAAGGCAACTTCTGCAGAGTGCAGTAAAGCGAGGCCCCATAAAAATGCGGTCTGCCTGGGCGCGCACCTTCCCTCCCCGGCGGGCTTCGGACTCCCGCTGCCGCAGGAATCCCTCAGGCGCGCGCACGCACACACGCACGCATACACGCATGCACGCACGGCGTAATCGTCATCATTAGGGTCGTACACGCACGACGTAGCGTTCTATGTGTTCCCAGGACTTTACCGAGCGCGATTTCTCACACCCCCGGGCAGGAGGTGGAGCAGCTGTGTCTCAGCGGGCAGCCGGGCTGCTCGGGGTGCTGCTGGGACTGGCACCCAGAGCCCTGACTGGCCCGAAGGTCAAGCACAGCCCGGGGTGGAGCGACAGGCCAGGTCCCTAGCAGCCGTCTGGCGAGCCCTGGTTGAGCACAGCGCTGCGCCGAACGGCGGATGGAACTCATCCTGCAGGTGGCGTGCTGGCCCGTGCTCGCCTCCCAGCGGCCTCCTCAGGCCCAGGGGAATGACTCCTCTGGGTTCTGGTCTCCCAAGCCTGGAGCCTGTTCGTCACCACCCCCCACACACGGGGAGGGCAAGAGGGAGAGCGAGCGAAGAGCCCCGCTTTCCTGAGGCTAAGCAAGCAGCGTGTGCCCCGCTGTGCTAGGGGACAAGGTGCGGTCGAGATGCGGTTCGCCTCCCTACTGAGCTCACAGTCGGTGGTTCAAACCCACGCAGTGGCACTGCGGAAGAAGGGTCTGGCAGTCTGCTTCTGTAAGGATTACAGCCACGGAAACCCTGTGGAACAGTTGCTCTCTGACACATGGGGTGGGTAGCCACGGGTGGGAATCCACTTGTAGACAAGTTCTTTTCTCGTTTGGAACTGCACCGCGTGGTGCCTGGCACCCACACTGTAGCCCAGGTTTGACACGGCTCTGTCGCCTCCCTTACCGCCCTGTCCCTGGTGGGATGAGCTGGAAGTCCGTGCGTGCCCAGGGAGGAGAGGGAAACAGGCCCAGTGGGGCCACGTGATGCCAGACCTGTGCCTTGAACCCTGTGTGCGTGCTGACACCTCGGTTCCTGTGGCTTCCAGCTGCAGCCCGTGCCTTGGGGCAGAGCTGGGGTCGTGTCTCCCACGCTCCACCTGGTGCCGACGGGGCTGCCTGTCCTAGGTTCCCAGTCACCAGTGTCCTGGTCCAGGAATGCTTTCCGAGTCGGAGGAGACGAGGCCTGTGGGAGCCGCTCCGGAGTCACCTCATGTCAAGATGGAGCCTGAAGAGCTGCATCCCCAGTGGGGGTCGCAGCAGGAAGGAGCTCCTGGTGTGCAGGGGTGGGCGCCCTTGAGCCCTGGCAACGAGAGGGTTCCTCTGCTCAACGATGGAGGTGAGCAGGGGGAGGGGGAGGCGAGGGGGGGGTGAGTAAGGGAAGGTGGGAGAGATAAGCAGCGGGGTGGGGAACAAGGCAGAGGTGAGTAGGGGGAGGTGAACAGAGGAGTGCAGAGGTGAGTAGGGGGAAGGTGAGTATGGGGGAGGCAGCCGGGGCAAGGCGGGCTGGGGGAGATGAGCAGGGGGGGAAGAGAACAAGGCAGAGATGAGTAGGAGGGAGGTGGGCAGGGGGAGGCGGTAAGCAGAGGAGTGCAGAGAGGCACTTGCCAGGGAGGCAGCAGTCGGGGCTCACAGCCAGGGCAGAGGTCCTGGCCACTGTGCAGTGTGGAAGAGCTATCCATCGCAGTGTGAGGGGCCAGCCCCCAGGTCCTCCTGCACCCCTGCCTTGCAGAGGCCACCTTGTGCAGCCTAGCGTCCCTGATCTTAGGCCTGGGGAGGTGGAGTTTGAGGGGCCATGGATGTCCCCGGAGCCCAGGGGTGAGCTCCTTGGGGGTAGCAGAGCCCAGCAAGGGAGCTGGCTGCCTGAGGACCCCTCTGCCTCCCCAGCCCACCCCTCCCCACAGGTCCCTGCCCATTCCTGGGAGGGGAGGACCCGAGACCGGCAGATGGCCGCCGCCCTCCTCACCGCCTGGTCCCAGGTGAGTGGACTCCTGGCTCCAGCCCCGAGCTGAGGCGTCGCCTCCCCCAGTCCCGCGGGTGGGTGCTGGCTCCCTGCTGGGTGCCTGGCGAAGGCCGGACCCACACCTGCTCCCCGAGGGCCGGCCCCGCAGCTCTGGGCCCACTGCAGGCTTGCAGCGTGGTGGCCCGGCGCTCCGTCCGGGGCCCACACTGGAGGAGACGCCGAGGAAGGGCAGAGGCAGCGTCTGGGAGCCTGGGTGCTGGCAGAGGAGCTGCTGAGGAGGGATGAGTGTGGGGGTCACGGCTTGAGCTGTGGTCTCCCAAGACGGACATTCTGTTCTCTCATCTTCTGTTCCACACAGCCGTCTTGTTCTTGCACCACACAATTGCACGTGCACACACACACACAGACACTCATGCATGAACACTCACGTGCACACTCATGCTCACTCACATGCACACACACACACGCAGGCCATCACCCGTCCAGTTCCAGTGGGTGGCCGCATCTGTTCGAGTCCGGGCTCGGACGCCCATTGTGATGCCACCTTGTCCCTTTGCCAGTCCCCGCGGCGTGGCCCAGACCGTGGCGTGGTTGCTTCTGTTGTTCCAGATGCCAGTGACCTTTGAGGATGTGGCTTTGTACCTGTCCCGGGAGGAGTGGGGCCGCCTGGACCACGCGCAGCAGAGCATCTACAGAGACGCCCTGCAGAAGAGGAACGGGCTCGGTGAGCGCCTCGGCATCGGCTTGCCCGTCCGTCGTTGTCTCTCTGGATGGTGCCGTCCTTTAGAAAGGGCCCATCTGCACGCATGGTAGCCACTGGCAAGATGTGGCTGTTAAACTTTAGGAATGGGGCCAGGGCAACTGGATTTTTAATTGTGTTTCGTTGTAATCAGTTGAAGTCGAGGGTTAAACAGCCACATGTGGCCAGTGGCTGTGGCGCTGGAGAGTGCAGCGGGCAGACCCCGCTGTCCCCCAGTCACCCCGTGGCGCTGGCTTCTTCCTGTCCTCCCACCGGGGAGGTGTCGGAGCACAAAGACTGCCCGAGACGTGGGGGCTGCCTGCCGTGGCAGGGAATGGCCCCAGCTTAGCCCCCTGGCCTGGCCCACTGGGAACCTCTGGTCACTTCTCTGAGGGCCTGGGCTACCGATGTTCCCTGGAGAGGGGGCTGTAGCCCCAGGGCTCTGACTGTTGCGTTTCAGACCCTGGTTCTCCTGGGAGAATTTCCGAGGCTTCTGGACAAGTCAGTGTATGAGTACATTTACTCATTCATCCGTTCATTGATTTGTGCAGAGTGTTTGTATGTGTCCACAAGGGCCAGGCAGATCTGCTGGTCGTGGCAGTGCCACCTTGGCTTTGAGGCCGCCCTCCTTGTCCTCCTGGGCCTCTCACACCTTTAATTATCTTAGGTGTGCTCACCTTGTGTCGTTACCTTTCCAACAAGTCCTGGCAAGCCCCTCGGAGATCGGAGAGACCTGGCACCCGTCGGAACCCCTGGGGCGTGCCTCACAGACACCCTAACCCTCCAACTACCCAGTCGTTGGAACATGTTCTCCCCACAGTGCTTAGGGCAGGCAAGGAGGCCAGGACCCTGCTCTCTTACTGTCTTAGCCGATGGTCTCCAGGGCCCTCACCCCAAGGGGTCTCAGCAAACGGACCTGTGGTCCCAGACTTGGTGGTTGCTAGCATTCCTGGCCCTTTTTCCCAGCTTCCCACGGGGCCTCTCTCTGCCTGTATCCTTCACCGTTGCCAGTATCCTTGTGATAGTCCGAGAATGTGTGATCTGTGGGAGCAGGAAGCTGGGCCCAGCGGCCAGAGCTGGGATGCACTCAGCTGACATGGCCCTACTGCTGTCACCTTCACTCTGCTGCTTGTTTGGGGACACGCGGGCCCCGAGCCCTGAGCAGGGTGTCCCTGGCAGTTACGGTGGAAGTGCTTCCAGGGAGTGACACACCCTGTGCTGCAGGTGACTTCAGAAAAGGTTTTTATGTTGGTTCTAATACACAGGACAACACTTAGAGCAGCTCAAAGGTTCCTCCTTGTGCAGTTGAGTGACACTAATGACCTCTTCAAGGTGTGCAGCCACGCCCACTGTCCTCCGGATCACTCCTCCCCCAGGAACGTGACCCCACTGCCCCCGAAGCAGACCCGCCCCTGACAGTGACCTTTCATACCCACTTTATCCAGCCCCAGGTTTCCAAGCTGCAGAACCCCCTCAGTTCGCCCCAGGACTTTGCGGTGGGTGACGTCTGGTGCTGTGTGGCCCCAGGAGTCCTGTGGCTGAGCCCAGTGTCTCTTTCCGGCCAGGGTTTCCCATCAACAGGCCTTTCTGGGCCTCCCGAGTGCCGGGGAGGGGCGAGGCCTCCGGCTCCGGGTCTGGGCAGCAGGCAGGGGAGGAGGAGGAGGAGAAGACGGCCGTGCGTACAGGTGAGGGCTCGGGGGGCAGAGGGATGTGCTCGTTCCTGGGTGCTCTCACCCACTGGGGCTTCCTGTCTGTCCTCTGCTGGGCCAGGACACATGGCCTTCCTGAGCCTGTCCCTGGCTGGCTCTCGCTTCCAGGGTCCCCGGTTCTTGCTTTCTCTTATCTCCCAGAACTGGCCCCCACGGAGCTTGACACCCCTGTGTCCCTCACTGGACATCCTCTTTCCCCAGAAGCCATGGAAGTGGGGAACGAGGCCCCGGACCCCCTTGGAGATGTGAAGCCCTTCAGAACCAAGGCAGGCAGAACCCTGGGGGGTGGCCTGCAGTGTGTGCAACCGGCAGCCGGCAGTCAGGGCTCGGGAGAGGCCGAGGACAATGAGCAGCTTGGGCGTCTGGAGCAGGAGCAGCCGGAGCCTGCCCTGCCGGCCACCAGCCTTCCAGAGACCCAGGAGGGTGGCGTCCCCAAGCAGCCCGGCGAGGAGGAGAAGCGGGCTGCTGCTGAGAGTGGCGAGGACGGCCTGGCTGCCGAGGGCGACGGCAGCCGGAAGACCTACAGGTGTGAGCAGTGTGGCAAGGGCTTCAGCTGGCACTCCCACCTGGTGACGCACCGGCGCACGCACACGGGCGAGAAGCCGTACGCCTGCACGGACTGCGGCAAGCGCTTTGGCCGCAGCTCTCACCTTATCCAGCACCAGATCATCCACACGGGCGAGAAGCCCTACACCTGCCCCTCGTGCGGCAAGAGCTTCAGCCACCACTCGACGCTCATCCAGCACCAGCGCATCCACACCGGCGAGAAGCCCTACGTGTGCGACCGCTGTGGCAAGCGCTTCACCCGCCGCTCGGACCTGGTCACCCACCAGGGCACCCACACGGGCGCCAAGCCCCACAAGTGCCCCGTCTGCGGCAAGTGCTTCACGCAGAGCTCGGCCCTGGTCACCCACCAGCGCACCCACACCGGCGTCAAGCCCTACCCGTGCCCGGAGTGCGGCAAGTGCTTCAGCCAGCGCTCCAACCTCATCGCCCACAACCGCACCCACACCGGCGAGAAGCCCTACCACTGCCTCGACTGCGGCAAGAGCTTCAGCCACAGCTCGCACCTCACCGCCCACCAGCGCACCCACCGCGGCGTCCGGCCCTACTCCTGCTCCTTCTGCGGCAAGAGCTTCAGCCGCCGCTCCAACCTGCACCGGCACGAGAAGATCCACACCACGGGGCCCAAGGCTCTGGCCATGCTGATGCTGGGGGCAGCGGCGGGCGCCCTGGCAGCACCCCGACCCGCGCCCACCTAGGGGGCTGGGAGATGGGGCTGGGCCGGGGCTCTCGGGAGGAGCAAGGGCAGCAGTGAAGGAAGTGAGGCGGGAAGGGGGGAGGCGGGAGCCTGCTGGCATGGGGTGAGGCCAGAGGAGCCAGCCCTCTAGCTGCCAATTAAAGGCCTAGGAACTCAAGCAGTGGCCCACAGCTGTGTCTCAGGCCCTGCGGCAGGCCACTGAGCATGGAGGTGCCTGACGGCCACAGATCTTCACTCATGGCCCCCGCCGGTCATTGTTCCCCCCTCTCAGCCTTGACCTGCATGGGGGCCCCCCGTCAGAAGCCAGGCCAAAGGCAGCCAGGCTAGGTGGGGCATTGTGGCCCTATGGCTTGCCATCCTGGAGCATTGAGTCCACCCAGGCTCTCCCCGGCTCTGCTCCTTGGCCTCCAGGGAGCAGGGAGGTGGTAGCTCCCACTCCTCTCCACCTGCCAGGTCTGGGGGCGTCCACTGGGGCCTGGCCCCAATCCAGGCAGGAGTCCTCACTTCCCAGGAATGCTGCCCCTCGTGGTCCATCCTGGGCTGCCTTGAGCTTCCAGCACCACTTCTCCCTTCCTTGGCCTTGTCACCTGTGTGCTCTGCGATTGGTCCTTCTCCCCCCACGTGACTCCATCTCTTTCTCTTCTCCCTTAAGAAGGGTGCTTTGTTCCTGGTGTGGGTGGGCTCAACCTGCTGCCTGTCCCAGATTTGTGGTTCAGCCCTTGAGACACCGTTCACCTCTGACCCCAGCTGACCCAGAGAGCAGTTGCACCAGGGAAGCCATTGCAGCCCACCTGTCTCCATGGGTCACTGTGGGTCATGGGCCCAGCTGGGGTGGCTTGGTGGTTCAGACAGTACACACTTTGTGATAGGAAGTTCAGGTCACATGCAAACTTGGTAGTTGTGGTCCAGCAGGGTTCAGCTTCTTCTAAAGGCCCAGTAAACCAAAAACCAAACCCATGGCCGTTAGTGGATTCCAACTCACAGCACCCCTAGAGGACAGAGTAGAACTGCCTCGTAGGGTTTCCAAGGTGGTCAGTCTTCACGGAAGCAAACTGTGATAGTGTTCTCCCGGAATGGGTAGGAACCATCAACCTTTTGGATAGCAGCTGAGTACTTAAGCAGTGTGCCACCGGGGCTCCTAAGGGCTAATACTAAGCCAAAAGCCGTTTCTCAAGAGTAGTAACCAGTGGAAGATGGCGTGGTTTTGCCCCTAAATTCTAGGATCTGTGTTGTCATTCATGTATCGGGCCCTGCCAGAGGGCACTGCAAGCGCCCTGGAATTAGCTCGGTCGTATGAGCAGCAAAGAGAAACAAACTCACTGCCATCCACTTGACTCCGACTCATAGAGGCCCCTTTGGGTTTCCGAGGCAGTCAGTCTTTACGCAAGTAGATTGTCCTATCTTCCTTCCAAGGAGCAGCTGGTGGGTTTGAACCACCTACCTTCTGATTAGCAGTCACATACCATAGGCATTGCAACACCAGAGCTGCTTGAGCAGCAAGGAGGCCCTCAAAACTGGAAGGTTTTCGGATCATTTGGCAAATGGGTTACTCAGGTTCTCGCTGGAGAGGTCTTCGTGGGGAGGAACAGAGACCTCCAGTAGTCATGTGAGCGAGGCATCTTCTAGGTGCATCCCAGAAAAGATGTGTCTCATTGAGGATAAAATGGGAGACGATTCCAGCATGATCTGCCATGTGCCCCTTTTGGACTCTGCTGATGAAAAATGGCTCTAGAGGTGAACCCGGATTCTGATCAGTCAGAGGTCACTTGCTTGCCAGGGCCGCAGCCTTAATCATTCACCAGTAGAGGTTACAAACTGAACCGCTGCTTGTGCTGTTTGAAGAGACCCCGTGTGAGCCTGTACTGGTCTGAATATTGGACCCCAAAGCTATAAGGTGCTAATTCCTGGGAGCCTATAAGGAAACATTGCCTTGTAAGGAAAAGGAGGCTTCATAGATGATTAAGGATCATGGCACTGGAAAACTGTCTTGAAACCAACTTTGTTGCCATGGAATTGATTTTGACGTCTAGTGCCCCTGTGGGACAGAATAGAACTGCTCCATAGGGTTTCTGAGGCTGTAAATGTACAGAAGCAGACGGCCACATCTTTGTCCTGCAGAAGAGCTGTTGGCTTCAAACTGCTGACCTGTGGGTTAGCAACTGAGCGCTTAACCTCTGTGCTACCAGGGCTCCTTTGGGTTATCACCCCCCAAAAACCAAACCCACTGCCATCAAATTGACTCCACATAGCGACCCTACGTAGAACACAGTGACGCGCTGCCAGGGCCTGAGACCCTCTCAGTCCTCGCTATGTCTGAGCCCACTGTTACCACCACTGTCAGTTCATCTTGTTGAGTGTCTTCTTCTTTTTCACTGACCCTCGACCAAGCGTGAAGTCCTTCTGCTGGGACCGGTCCCTCCTGGTAACATGTCCAAAGCAGCAAGCCGATGCCTTGTCATGCTCACTTCTAAGGAGCATTTTGGCTCTACTTCTTCCAAGACAGATTTGTACGTTCTGGCCGTCTCTGTACAGTCAGTGGTCTTCGCCGACACCGTAACTCAAATGCACCCCTTCTTGGCAGCTTACAAAACTGATGGATTTTATTTATAAATGCTGACAGGGAAAAGTACCTCTGGTACACTAGTGACTCAGCGATACATATCCAATATGTATAGCACTTATTTCTTGATTAGTACTGTGGTTTGCCTCTGTCATTCAACCAATACTTATTAAGCCCCTATTTTGTGCCAGGCACAATACTAGGTGCTGGGAGTAAGGACATTAAAAGTGTCTGCTCTCATGGAGTTTAGTTGAATGAACCCAAAAAAACAAACCCACTGCACTCATAGCGACCCCTGTTGGGTTTCCAGGGCAGTAAATCTTTACAGAAGTACATTGCTCCATCTTCCTGCCGTGGGGCAGCAGTGGGTTAGCCATCCAGTGCTTTAGGGGGTCTGCCACCAGAGCTCCTATAGGAGGATAATGGGAGATGAAAGGTTGTTATGCACCATGGAGTCAGAGATGGTATCACTATCTACCTTCCAAGGAGTGGCTGGCGGCTTTGAACCACCAGCCTTATGATTAGCAGTCAAATGCCTTAGGCACTAAGCTACCAGAGCTCCTATACTAGACAGCGAAAAATAATGCAGAGGAAAACTACTGGCGGGGGGCGGGGGAGTTGTGTACCCAGGATTAGAGAAGTCTTTGATGGGACAGTTGAGCAAGAGAGTGAGGGAGCTAGCTTTGTGGGCATCCAGTGTTGCTTTTATAATTTTCAATACATTCTTAATTGTTTCTGCACTAAGGATTAAAAAACTAACAAGGAAAGACTCTGTACAGATGAAAACTGGAGCCTCAATTCTTTGGGTGGAGGCGTGGAGAAGGTGGGCGTAGATCTCAGGGCACTGAAAACAACACCGAGCTTCCGGGACACAGCCCGACTTCTGCGGAGCCCTCGGGCCTCTGGACCCCGCCGCCCTGTCAGTTCCCTGCAGGTGAGGCTGCTGGTGGGAGACCGCGGGGATCCTCCAAGGCCAGCGTGCACGCCCGCTCAGACGGAGAATCACAGCAGGAGTTTCTGCGCCCCACAATGGACGGTATTTCTTAGGTAGCTGCAGGCCCTTCCATTACCACGAAGTCCATTTTCCACCTACAGCAAGCCAATCTGACACAGTAGAACTACCCCACAGGGTCTCCCAGGTTGTAATCTTTACGGGAGGAGCTAGCCAGGTCTCTGCTTCCATGGAGCCACTGGGTGGGTTCCAAGTGCCCACCTGCCGCTGAAGACTTGGGACAGTGCGAGACTCAATAGGTTGGAAATGGGTCTTCCCGGAGCGAGCTACAGGGCCTTCAACACACTCCTTAGACTAGGAGACCGGAGCCTAACAAAAGAGTCATCCTCGAGCCTCCCTTCCGGCGGAGCGGTCGCTCCATTTGTGACTGCAGCAACCGCCACCTCTGCTCATCAGGCCAGGCCTTGACTTCCTCTTCCGCCTCTCAGTGACCAGAGCCGCAGAGAAAACAAAAGGAAAAAAGAGCAGAACAGTAGGACGCAGCTAGTCAATATGCAGATCATAGTTCTGCATCCCGTGTCCAGGAGTATGACGCACACGCGTTGCTGCCTTCTGATTGGCCATCCCTGGGAATTGTCCCCGTTCATTGGCTGTTCCCCGGGGAGTAGGCAGGTTCAACAAACACACACCCTTCTGGGCCTGGGGGGGGGGTGTAGTCACGACTTCGTGCTGTGACGCATGCGCCGCACGGCTTCCCGGCGGTCCACGCGCGGGTTTCCGGCGCCGCGGTCAGTCGACGGAACTGGGAACGCGTGGGCGTCTTTCGACGGTGAGATTCCCCGGCGCGAGGACCGGCGACGCGGAACCCCGTATTCTGAGGCCGAGCGGAGGGCTCCAGGGGATTCCCCGTTCGAAGGGACGGGCGCGGGGCTCCAAGGACAGGGCGGAGGCCGAAGGGGTGCACGCTGCTGGGTGGTGCCGGGAGGAGGTCGAGTCGCGCCCCGCTGCCCGTCTGTTTCTGGGCAGACAGCCCGGCGCGCCCGCTGCCCGCTGGCCCGCCCGCCCGCCGCGCCCTCAGCTCCGGGCTGCTGGTGACAGCGCGGGGCTCCGCCCAGACCAGCGTCGCCACCCGCCGTGACCTGCTCTGCGATCCTGGTGAGTGCCTAGTCTCTCCGAGCGGCGCTTCCCCCTCCATCATTGCAGAATGAGAGTGGCGGTGTGGGGGTATGAACAAAGAAATGCGCCCGGTGCGTAGGACAGATGGCTTGGGAACAGCTCAGATGCATCGTTAGGGGATTGGCCAAGACGCTGGAGCATGTCCAGGTCGGGAGGCTCCCGGCCCCGCCGGTGAGGAAGCATTGCTAGGTCGGCGAGCCCGTATGTCACCGCTACCGACCATCGCGAGGGTCCGCAACTACGTCGTGGGAGGTTTTCCGTCCGCCATGCCCGGGTGGCGGATACCGTTCATCACTGTAACAGCAGTGGAGGCTGGAGGTTCAGACCCACCTGCAGACGCTTGGGAAGATAGCTGGGGCCATCTGCTTCTACAGGCTCGAAAGCCCCGTTTCCCACCCAGGGTCACCGTGGGTCTTGTTGACTCGCAGGCCACTGTCTTAGTTCCTTAGGCAGCTGTAACGGGGGATGGCTTCAACAAACATTTATTCTCTCACAGCTTAGGAGGGCGCCACCTCTGGGGGACTGGTTTCTTTCTCTTGCTCTGGGGGAAGGTCCTTGTCTCCTTTCAACATCTGTGGGCCTGTCTCTCCTTGAAGATCATGTTTCTTGGCACCACCGTTCCCCCCTGGATCTGGGCGGTCCCGGGGCCAAAGGACACACACCCAGCTGTTCTGTCTTGGATTTAATGAGGTTCCACTCCTCTGCTTTTTACTCTTCTTATCTCTTGGTAAAAAAAAAGGTGTAGCAGGCCACACATCCCACCCTCTCACAATCAGGGTTGTCACTAAGGGTGCTGAATCCCACCCTGGTCCTCATAAAACTGGTTGGCTGGTCAGGCGTCAAATCACGTCCTGAGTGGTGATTACATCATTGTGTAACCGCGAAACCACTGACAATCGTACCTCAGCTAAGGTGACACATATTTCTAGACGACACGGCTAGTCCATGACAACAACTCCAACAGCGTGCATTTCTGTATGTCCATGCCGCTCTTCCTTATTGTTTCCTTTAACAGTTTGAGTTAGGTTTTTCATTGAAAACAAGGCAGTCAATTTAAAAGAAAATCGAAAATAAATGCTCTTCAGGATGATGAGGAATACTAACTGTGAGTATAAGGAACACCTGTCAGACACTCAGAAGTATCGGTGCCTGAATGGCTTAGCGTCATGTCCCTCAGCCTGTCTGAAACCCCTGGGCCTATGTCGTTTGTAATTGAGACCTGTTCAGGTTTCAGAGAGAGAACCACGTGACCAGTAGGGTGAGGGGCAATATCCTATAGTGAGACACACTAATATCTTCTTACTGAAGTGAAACCTGTGAGAGCCAGCACCTAGTGGGGCTGCCTTCTTTGCCCGGGTCTTGCAGGTTTTCTGCCCTGTCCTTGCTGAGGGGAGCTGGAGGTGGGTGAGTGCTGAGGGAGGAGGAGGAGATGAGGCCAGCAGGGCCACCGTGGGGCCAGAGCTGTGCTTCGAGCCCGCTCTATGTTCTGACACCTGGGTTCTGGTGCTGGCAGCCCCCGGCCCAGGGCAGAGCTGGGTTTGGCTCTCCCACACTCTGCCCGGTGACGATGGGGCTGCCTTTCCCGGCTTCCAGGTCACCAGCGTCCCTGTTCAGAGATGCTTTCCCAGTCGGAGGAGACGGGGCCTGCGGGAGCCGCTCGGGAGTCCCCTCACACCAGTACTGAGCGCAAAGAGCCGCACCCGGAGGAGGCGTCACGGGAGAAGGGGGCTTCCGGCACTCGGAAGTGGCCGCCCCTAAGCCGTGGCTCCAGAAAGGCTCTTCTCCCTGGTAGAGGTGAGTGGGGGCAGAGCTGGGGAGGCTGGTGGCGAGCAGGGGGTGGGGAGGAGACAGGTGAGCAGCAGATAGTCAAGCACAGTGGGGGGTGGGGGGACAGGACAAGGGTTCACAGCCAGGGCGAGAGTCCTGGCCCCTGCCCAGTACAGAAAAGCTGCCTGCAGCCGTGTGAGCGCCCCACGTCCGCCGGCATTCCTGCCCCGCACAGGCCGCCCCGGGCAGCCTCAGAGTGTAGCACCTCTGTTCTTAGGCCTCGGTGGAGTTTGAGGGGCCATGGATGTCCCAGGAGGCCAGAGCTGAGCTCCTCAGGGGTAGCAGGGGAGCTGGCTGCCTGAGGACCCCTCTGCTCCCCCAGCCCACCCCTCCCCACAGGTCCCGGCCCATTCCCGGGAGGGGAGGACCCGAGACCGGCAGATGGCCGCCGCCCTCCTCACAGCCTGGTCCCAGGTGAGTGGACCCCTGGCCCTGAGCTGAGGCACTGCCTCCCCTACTCCCATGGGTGGGTGCTGGCTTCCTGTTGGGTGCCTGGTGAAGGCTGGACCCACACCTGCCCTCTGGGAGCTGGCCCCCAGCCCTGGGCCCACTGCAGGCTCGCGGGGTGGTGGCCACGCGCTCTGTCGGGGGCCCACAGTGGAGCAGACACCGAGGAAGGGCAGAGGCAGTGTCTCTGAGTGACCCGCGCTCTGGGGTCCGGGTGGCAGCTGAGGAGGAGCATGCGTGGCAGAGCCCTGGGCCTTTGCTGTGGCCCTAGAGCGGGCTGGACGTCTTATTCTCTCATCTTCTGTTTGACGCAGCTGTCTTGTTCTTGCCTCACACTTACGAGAGCTGTGCACTCGCACACGCAGGCCGTCACCTGTCCAGTTCCAGTGGGCTTAGACACACGTTGGGATGCCACCTTGTCCCTTTGCCAGTCCCCGCGGCGTGGCCTGAACAGGGACGTGGTTGCTTCTGTTGTTCCAGATGCCGGTGACCTTTGAGGATGTGGCTTTGTACCTGTCCCGGGAGGAGTGGGGCCGCCTGGACCACGCGCAGCAGAGCATCTACAGAGACGCCCTGCAGAAGAGGAACGGGCTCGGTGAGCGCCTCGGCATCGGCTTGCCTTGCCTTGTTTCTCTGGCGGGTGCCGTCCCTTAGAGCCTCCGGGATCGATGGAGACGCTCTCGAGCTGCACGTGCACGGCAGCCACTGGCCGATGTGGCTATTGAGCTTTGAGAATGTGGCCAGGGCAGCGGGATTTTTAATTGAGTTTCATTGTAATCAGTCCGAGTTGAGGGTTAAACTGCGTCTGTGGCCAGTGGCTGTGATGTTGGAGAGTGCAGTGGGCAGACCCCGCTGTCCCCCAGTCACCCCGTGGCGCTGGCTTCTTCCTGTGCTCCCACGGGGGAGGTGTTGGAGCAGAAAGACTGCCCGAGGCGTGGGGGCTGCCTGCCATGGCAGGGAATGGCCCTGGCTCAGCCCCCAGGCCTGGCCCACTGGGAGTCTCTGGTCTCTTCTCTGAGGGTCTGGTGCTCCTGGGAGAACTTCACCAGGCTTGGATGAGTGGGAGCATGCGTGCATTCATTTCTCTGGTCACTCATTCCTCCCCACTAGTCTGCAGCAGCGTAACTGTTCAACATTGGACATCACAGACAGCCACGGAGACGTGACCAGTGGGCCGCTGGTCCCTGAGCTTGCTTGCCAGCATCTCGGGACCTTTTTCCTTGCTTCCTTCATGGCCTTTCTCTGCCCGTTGCCCTGCCTCTCCCTAGAGTTCCTGTTGACCTCTAGGAACATGTGATCATGGGGGCAGGGGGCTCCACATGGGAGTTCTTTCATGCCTAGTTCCACCAGCCAGGGCTGGGGACGTACTTAGTTGACCTGCTGTCACGTTAACTCTGCTGCTTGTTTGGGGACAGGCGGGCAGGTCTCGAGCCCTGAACAGGGTGTCCCTGGCAGTTACGGTGGAAGTGCTTCCAGGGAGTGACACACCCTGTGCTGCAAGTGACTTCAGAAAAGGTTTTATGTTGGTTCCAATACACAGGACAACACTTACAGCAGCTCAGAGGTTTCTCCTTGTGCAGTTGAGTGACACTAATGACCTCTTCAAGGTGTGCAGCCACGCCCACTGTCTTTTTCCAGATCACTCCTCCCCCAGGAACGTGTCCCCACTGCCCCCGAAGCAGACCCGCCCCTGACAGTGACCTTTCATACCCACTGGATCCAGCCCCATGTTCCCAAGCTGCAGAGCCCCCTCCGTTTGCCCAGCACTTTGCGGTGGGTGACGTCTGGTGCTGTGTGGCCCCAGGAGTCCCGTGGCTGAGCCCAGTGTCTCTTTCCGGCCAGGGTTTCCCATCAACAGGCCTTTCTGGGCCTCCCGAGTGCCGGGGAGGGGTGAGGCCTCTGGCTCCGGGTCCGGGCAGCAGGCAGGGGAGAAAGAGGAGGAGAAGACGGCCGTGCGTACAGGTGAGGGCTCAGGGAGCAGGGGGCTACGCTCGTTCCTGGGTGTCCTTGCCCGTCGGGGCTTCCTGTCTGTTCTCTTCTGGGCCAGGACACACGGCCTTCCCGAGCCTGTCCCTGGCTGGCTCTCGCTTCCAGGGTCCCCTGGTTCTTGCCTTCTCTTATCTCCCAGAACTGCAGTGTGAGCTCCCCATGTCCGCCTGCATTCCTGCCCTGCACAGGCCTCCCGTATAGCCTCAGAGTGTAGCACCTCTGTTCTTAGGCCTCGGTGGAGTTTGAGGGGCCATGGATGTTCCAGGAGGCCAGAGCTGAGCTCCTTAGGGGTAGCAGGGGAGCTGGCTGCCTGAGGACCCACTGAGCTTGACACCCCTGTGTCCCTTCTGCAAGTCTCTCACTGGACACCCTTTTTCCCCAGAAGCCATGGAAGTGGGAAATGAGGCTTCGGACCCCCTTGGAGATGTGAAGCCCTTCAGAACCAAGGCGGGCAGAGCCCTGGGGGCCTCCCTGCAGTGTGTGCAGCCTGCAGCCAGCAAGCAGGGCTTGGGAAAGGCTGAGGACAACAAGCGGCCTGGGCGTCTGGAGCAGGGACAGCCAAAGCCTGCCCTACCGGCCACCAGCCTTCCAGAGACCCAGGAGGGTGGCGCCCCCAAGCAGCCCGGCGAGGAGGAGCGCACCTCCGCCATTAAGGCGAGTGCAGGTGAGGAAAAGAGCCCCACGGCTCCCGAGGGCGCAGAGAAGCGCACCACTGCTCCCGAGGGCAGGGCTGAGGGCCCCACCGCCAAGGCCGAGGCCCCCAGGAAGACCTACAAGTGCGAGCAGTGCGGCAAGGATTTCAACCATCGCTCCAACCTCAACGCGCACAAACGTATCCACACCGGCGAGAGGCCGTACGGCTGCAGCGAGTGCGGCAAACGCTTCAGCCACAGCTCGCATCTCACCACGCACCAGCGCACCCACCGCGGCATCCGGCCCTACTCCTGCGCCCTGTGCGGCAAGAGCTTCACCCGCCACTCGACGCTCACCCAGCACCAGCGCATCCACACCGGCGAGAAGCCCTACCTGTGCGACTACTGCCCGAAGCGCTTCCTCCGCCGCTCGGACCTGGTCAACCACACGGGCATCCACACGGGCATCAAGCCCCACAAGTGTCTCGTGTGCGGCAAGTGCTTCACGCAGAGCTCGGCCCTGGTCACCCACCAGCGCAACCACGCCGGCATCAAGCCCTACCCGTGCCCGGAGTGCGGCAAGGGCTTCAGCCATCGCTCCATCCTCATCGCCCACAACCGCACCCACACCGGCGAGAAGCCCTACCATTGCCTCGACTGCGGCAAGAGCTTCAACCACAGCTCGCACCTCACTGCCCACCAGCGCACCCACCGCGGCGTCCGGCCCTACTCCTGCTCCTTCTGCGGCAAGAGCTTCAGCCGCAGCTCCAACCTGCACCGGCACGAGAAGATCCACACCCCGGGCCCCAAGACCGGAGGCGAGCCAGTGCCAGAGGAGAAGGCAGGGCCAGGGAAGAAGGCGGAGTTGGGGGAGAAGGCGGGGCTGAGGGAGAAGGTGGAGCCAGGGGAGAAGGCGGAGCTGGGGAAGAAGGTGGGGCAGAGGGAGAAGGCGGAGCCGGGTGAGAAGGTGGGGCTGAGGGAGAAGGCGGAGCTGGGGATGAAGGCGGAGCTGGGGATGAAGGCGGAGCCGGGGGAGAAGGCGGGGCTGGGGGCAAAGGCGGGGCTGAGGGGGAAGGCGGAGCCGGGGGAGAAGGCGGAGTCCCTGACAGTACCTGGACCTGCACCCACCTAGGAGCTGTAAGAGCAGTTGCAGAGGGAGTGGGGGGCCTGGGAAGGGAGGCAGGGAGTCAGCTGGCATGGGGTGGAGCATGGCAATGTGGGAGAAGCTGAGGCCAGAGGAGCTGGCCCTCTGGCTAGAAATGCAAGGCCTTGGAATTCAAGCTATGGCCACACAGTTGTCTCGGGCTGTGTGTCAGGCCACAGCATGGGGGTGCCTGGCTGGCGGCAGGACCTCACTCGGCCCCCTCTCGGTCATCGCTCTCAGGAAGGCATCTTTCCCTCTCAGCCTTGGCCTGGGTCAGAGCCCTCGTCCAAGCCCCTTCCAGGGCTTGAAGACCCAAGTCCACCGGCAGAGGCTGCCAGGCCAGAAGACAGCCCTGCAGGGTCAGGAATTGTGGCCCTGGGCAGGGCTGTCTGGCTTGCCGGCCTGGGAGCGTTGCATCCAACCAGGCTCTGCTCCTTGGCATCTGGGGAGCAGGGAGGTGCCAGCTTGGAAACACACTTGGCAATGTCTCCCACTCCTCTGCCTGCCAGATTCGGACTGTAGTGAGTGGACAATTCCCATCTGCGTCCCCAGGGGCCTGGCCACACTCCAGCCAGAAGTCCCCACTTCCCAGGGCCACCGTCCCTCGTGGTCCATCCTGGGCTGTGAGCTTCCCGCACCACATCTCCACTTCTCCCCTCCTTGGCCTCGTCACCTGTGTGTTCTGTGATTGGCCCTTCCCCGCCCTGCGTGCCTCCGTCTCTCTCCGGTCCTCCCAAGTTTCGAACTCCAGAGCTCCATTTCCCATTCTCTCTTAGTTCCTGAGGTCGGGTCGGGTGGGGTGGGCTGGGCTCAGCTTGCCACCTGTCCCAGATTTGTGGCTCAGCTGTTGGGACAGCGTTCACCTCTGACCCCAGCTGACCCGGAGAGCGTCTGCACCAGGGAAGCCATTGCAGCCCTCTTGGCTCCCAGCCCTTAAGTGACGCAGTGCCTTGAATAGGATGCTGATTGAGAATAGTTGTACTAGTCCAGTGAGAGTCCGTTGTCCCTAATCCCACCTCTGAGCAGTGGGCTTTACACCTCAGCTTTTGTAGATAACAAAGGAGGCTGAGGGTGTCCCATGACCCTCCAGAGTCACTCAGCCAGAGAGGGACTGAGACCATCCAGGTCTGAGTTTAACATCAAGGAATGTACAAAATGCCCGTTCTAGACCCTCGGACAGCGCCACCGCTCAATAAACACTTAGATGGCACAAAGTGGTCTGGTCTCCAGGGACTAGGGACTCGGCTGAGGTGTGGGGTGGAGTCAAGACCGGGAAGCCCCAGAATGTGGACCTTGGGTGGGCCGGTGTGGTGTCTGGGAGATGCCCGATCCAGGGCTGGGGATGAGGCAGGGTTAGGTGGTCATTTCTCCGGGGGGGGGGGGGGGGACGAGAAAGCGAGCCGCGCCCTTCCTCCTCGTTTTGTGGTCCCAGTTACTCAGCCAGAAATGGAGTTTCTGTGGAAGGCTGAGGGGGTGATGCATTCAACCAAGAAGGGGAACAGAGGTGGGAAGGAGACGTTGAGGGGACAGGTCAGCACTTGGCTTTGCACCTGCTGTTCACGTGCACTATGGGAATTACCAGTATTGATGCCAAGGGCTGCTTGGCACTTCCCTCACCAGCCCTTGGGCTGCACGGGCTGTGTGTCAGGGACCAGATGTGAGAACTTGAACCTGAGGTCTGTTGGCTGACCCAGGCTGCCAGGTTTCACCAGACCTGGCCCAGAATGATGGTGTTTTAAGGTGGGAAATTGGCACTTCAGAAAATCCGTGACGAGCGCAGGTAAGACTTGGGTAGATGGTTCCAGAATGTCAAGTGGAAGGGTTCTCACAAGTGGGTGGGTGATGGGCTGCCAATGAGAGGTCAGAGACTGGGGGCAGGGTCTTGGGCGCTCTGGGTGGGAGGTGAGGAGGGTCCAGGTTCCCCGCCTGTCTCCTGGCTTTAGCCTACACCCGAAACCCCAGCTGCTGGCCGCTGGAGAAGGGCCTGGGTGTGGTCAGGAATAGATGTCAGTGAGGTAGAGGGCACGGAGGATTTCTACTGCGGCTTCCCACCCCCTTCCCTGAGCTCGGGAACTGGCCTTTTTGGGGACCCTGTTTGGTCAGTCCGGTACTTGCTGAAGGCGCTTGGCACCTCTGCCCTCTGCGGCTCAGACTCCAGCCCAGGGTTGCCGGCCTTTACACAGCGCGGTCAGAAAACTGCCAGCCTTGGAACAGCTTGTGAGCCCCTTGACCCTTGACTTCTGCAGACTGGCCACAGACCTCGAAGAGTCGCTGGGAAACACGTTTATTGTCCGCGTTCCAAAAGGCCCCGCCTCTCCCGCTGCTTTAGCCAATCAAGTAGAGGGGCGGGCGCCAGCAAAACCGGCCAGTAATCGTCTAGGTTCTCAGAAATCCCCCAAGCCCAAAGGTTGCCCGGGTAACCGTTAGAGGCGCCCAAGTTTCAACCTTTCCTTGCCAAGCTTCGTTGCCATAGCAACACAGGTTCATGAGGCCTGGATGCCTGGGTTCTCAGCCTCGTTGGGAGACGCCAGGTTCCGAGGTCTCGCGCCTTTTGTCCACGAGCCCTACCACCGAGACACCAAGCCTCCGGCTTCCTAGAGAGGGGGTGTTCTGGGGGCGTGGCCGGCACGAGTCCTCAGGGCCATCCAGGTGCTGCTGTAAAGCTGGAGCCATCCACTTCGGAGTGTGGACTCCGTCATGCAAAATCCACTGCAAGCCAAGCCCAAGTTTCTTCCCCAGCCCAGCTGCGCTGCGCCTGCAGGCGTGGACAGGTCAGGCGGTGTAACTGAACTGGAGCCCATGGGCACGAGCCGTGTCCTCACGACTGCCTGCCACAGGACCTGGGCAAGCCCACTCGTACACCACTGCCACGGGGTGCAGCCCTGCTCCCTCGGTTATTGTTCGTCAGACAATGCACACTTTCTGATGGGAAGTTCAAGTCACACAGCATCTTGGCAGCCAGCAGTAAGACAAATGTTTCTTGAAGAATAGTAACCAGTAGAGAATGGCATGGTTTTGCCCCCAAATTCTCGGCTCTATGTTGTGATTCATGTATAGGGCCCTGCCAAAGGGCACTTCCAGCACCCTGGAATCAGCTGGGTCATATGACCCCAGCAACAAGGAAGCCCACTCAAAATTCGGAGGTTTTTAGATCACTCCGCAAATGGGTTACTCAGGTTCTCCTTAGAGAGGTCTTCGTGGGGAGGAACCGGGGCCTCCAGTAGTCACGTGAGCAAGGCATCTTCCAGGTGCGCCCCAGAAGAGATGTGTCTCATTGAGGAGAAAATGGGAGACAATTCCAGCATGATCCACCATGTGCCCCTTTTGGACTCTGCTGATGAAAAATGGCTCCTGGACATGGATACAGACATTCTGATCAGTCAGAAATAGGTAATTTGCCTGGAGCCGCACCTTAATTATTCACCATTGTTGTTGTTGTTGTTGTTTGCCGTGGAGTCAAACCCGACTCATAGCGACCCCTCCTTGGGTTTCCAAGGCAGTATCACTACGGAAGTAGGATTGCCCAACCTTCCTTCCAAGTATTCACCATTAGAGGTTACTAATTGAAGAGACCCCATGTGGGCCTGTGGTCATCCTAATAATGGACCCCCAAAGCTATAAGGTGCTAATCCCTGGGACTCTATGAGGAAATGTTGCCTTGTAAGGAAAAGGAGGCTTTGTAGATGATTAAAGATCATGACACTGGGAGAGTATCCTGGATTATTGCCAAACCAAACCCAACCCACTGCCGTCAAGTCAATTCCAACTGACAGCAGAGTAGAACTGCTTCCTAGTTTCTGAGGTTTTCTCTTTACAGAAGCAGACTGCCACATCTTACTCCCACAGAGCAGCTGGTGGGCTCAAACTGGCAGCCTATGGGTTAGCAACCGAGCACTTAACCTCTGTGTCAACAGGGCTTCTTTGGATTATACCCCCCCCAAAAGAATAAATAAATAACCTCCCTGCTATGGATTTGATTCTAAGCATGGTGACCCTATGTTGAACAGAATGAAACACTGTCTGTTCCTGAGTCACCCTCACAGTCCTTGCTATATTTGAGCCCATTGTTACAGCCAGTCAGTCTGTCTTGTTGAGTGTCTTCCCGTTCTTTGCTGACCCTCTGCCAAGCATGATGTAACATGTCCAAAGTAGCAAGCCAGTCTCGCCATCTTGCTTCTAAGGCTCGTGTTGGCTGTACTTCCTTCTGAACAGATGTGTCCATTCTTTCGGCAGTCCAAAGTGTATTCAGTAATCTTCAACACCATAACTCAAATATATCAGTTCTTCTTTGCAGCTTGCAAAACTGACACATTTTGTTTATAACTGTTGACAAGGAAAGTATTTCTGGTAGACAAGTGAGTCACCAAAATGTTACTTAATTATTGACTGTATTTGGGTTATAAATATACTCATGGGACACAGGCTAAAATACTAATTTATTTCTTGATTAGGGATGTCTTTCGCCTTTATCATTCCACCAGTATTTACTGTGCCAGGCACAGTTCTAGGTGCTGGCAGTAGGGACACAGAAAGTGTCTGTCCTCATGAAGTTTACAGTTGAATAAACCAAAAAAGCCCAACTCACTGCCATGGAGTTGATTCTGACTCATAGTGACCTCCATTGGGTTTCCAAGGCTGTAAATCTTGACTGAAGGAGACTGCCCCTTCTTCCGTGGAACAGCTGGTGTGTTCAAACCATGGACTTTCCAGTTAAATGCCTTTACCACTACACAACCAGAGCTCCTTTAGAGTCAAACAGTGGGGGAGACAAACAGTACACATATATAATCAGGTAGCCAGAAATGTGAGGCAGAAAAATAAGTCACAGTGCGAGAGCTGTTTACACAGGGTTAGGGGAACCCTCTTTCAGGGGGTGACATCTGAGCAGGGAGTGCGGGAGCTAGCCTTGTGGATATCAAGAGGAATAGATGTCTTTGTTATTTTCTATACATTCTTAATTTCTTTTTCTACACTGAGGATACAATACAGTAATAAATTTAAAAAAAAAAAAAAAAAGCTTTCTATTCAGATAAAGAACTGGAGCCTCCAATCTTGGGGTGAAGGCGAGAGTGGATCCCAGTGCACGGAATGGAGAACTCCCAGCTTCCCGGATACAGGCGGCATCCTGCAGATCCCTCTGGGGGACGCCGCAGTCCCCTCAGCTCCGGGCAGGAGAGGCTGCTGGTGGGGAAGCGGGGGGTTCCTTCCGGGTCAGCGTTTCCGACTGCAGAGACGGAGAACCGCAGCAGGAGGCTCCGCGCCCGGTAGACGGCGTTTCCTATGAAGCTGCACACCCTTCTTTGGCTACGCCGTCCAGTCCATTTTCTACTCCTAGCACGTAATAGAGTGGAACTGCTCTGTTGGGTTTCTCAGGCTGGACTCTTCATAGAAGCAGGTTGCATTTTCTCCTATGGAACTGCTGGATGAGTTCCAGCTGCCCGCCTGCAGCTGGAGACTTGGAAGAAGGCAGGACCCAATGGGCTGAGAACGGGTCTCACCGGACCGAGCTCCGGAGCCCTCTCCGCCTTCAACACACTCTTTGGAGAGCAAAGAGACCGGGGCGCAACTAGAGTGATCCCAGCGCGTGCGTTCGGCAAAGGTGGCGCTCCATTTGTGGCTGGGCCCTGAGCGTTTCTGCTCATCAAGCCAGACCTTGATTTCTCCTTCGGGCCCTCAGAGGCTAGAGGCGCAGAGAAAACTGAAAGAAAAAGGGAGAAGGGATAAGACGCAAGGAGTCGAGGGAGACCCTGCTGCGTGGAGGTGACGCATCACGCGTTGCTGCCTCCTGCTGGACGTCCCTGGGAATTGTCCTTGTTCATTGGCTGTTCCCCGGGGAGAAGGTGGACGCAATAGACGAACGGCCTTCTGGGGGATGTAGTTCTGAAAACCTGCCGTGGCGCATGCGCCGCACGGTTTCCCGGCGAGCCTCGCGCTGGTTTCCGGCGCCGCGAACTGGCGACGGAACTGGGAACGCCTGGGCAGCTGTGGAGGCTGAGTGTCCCGGGGGCGGGGACCGGCGACTCGGGCCGCCGCGCTCCAGGTACGCGCGCGGGGCTGCGGGCCCGGGCCGATACCCCGAGGCAGAGGACGAGCGGGTGCACACCGCTGGGAAGTGCTGAGAGGAGTCGGGGGTCGCCCTCGCGCCCCGCCGCTCACTCAGTTACTGGGCAGCCAGCCATTCCGAGCGGCGGCGCCCTCGGCGCGCCCGGCGCTCCCTCAGCTCCGGGCTGCTGGTGACAGAGCACGGCGCTCCGCCGGCACCAGCGTTCCCGCCCGCCGTGTCCTGCTCAGCGACTCTGGTGAGTCCCAGGCCCTCTCCGCGCGGCGCTTCCACGTCCATCGCCCGGGAAGGAGAGCGGCGGTGTGAAGCGTGGAGGAACAAAAGAAACACGCCCGGTGTGCAGTGGAGACGGCTGGGGAACAGCTCAGCTGTCGCTCGGGAATCGGTGAAAGGACCGGGCATGGCCGTGTCGGGAGCCTCATGGTCCCACCAGTGACATCATACAGTTAACACCGACCCTGACGGTCCGCGGCCACCTTGTGGGAGGTTTCTCGTCTTCCGTGCCTGGGTACCGGAAACCGTTCAGCGCTGTACCAGCTGGGAAGGTTGGCAGTGCCAACCCACGCAGAGACGCCCCAAGATAGGCCTGGCGACCTGTGCTGTAAAGGTCCCAGGTTTGAAAACCCCGTGGGGTGGTTCACATAGGGGTCACCCTGAGCCGGACTTGACTTGCAGACAGCTGTCTGTGTTCCAGTTTGGCCGTAACGCAAGTGGGTGGCCTTCCCAAGCAGAAGTTTATTCCCTCACAGTTCAGGAGGCTAGCGGCCCGAGTTCAGGGCACCAGAGCCGGTGGGGAGCTTGTCTGCTTTCCACATCTGCGGAGCCAGCATTCGGGGCAGATCTCTCTGTGTCTTGCCGTCAGTTTTCCCCTGGGTCTAGGAGGGTCTCAGCGCAGGGGCTCCAGGTCCAAAGGGCACATTTGCTCCCCGCTCCTCTTTCTTGATGATAGCGGGTCTTTCTGCTGGTTCCTCTCTCCTCTTATCTCTGTGAGATAAAAGCTGATGCAGACTGTATCCCAGCTGAACCCCTGTAGCATTGGGTCCGTGCTGTGAGCTGAGTTAGAGTGTGGCAGCCCACCCTAACCCCCTTCCAAGTGGATTGCTTCAGATTACGTCCCTGAAAGTGATTACATCGTTACGTAACTGCCAAACCACTGATGCATTTTGGGGGGACGCAGTTCAGTCCGTGGCAGCCACTGACAACCATATATGTTGTTGAAAACAGGCCTCAGGGCCACTGAAGACTAGCAGCTGGAGTCCCTACAAGTCTCTTCAGGTGGTGTTTGCTTCTGGGCCCCTCCATTCCCACCTGCTGATTTGCTCTTTCCCTAGGAGCACGTGGCCAGATGTTGACCCGGCCACCACCCAGGAGTCCTCTGGGAGACTGAGCCGCAGGCTTGGGCCAGGTTGGGGCCCAAACCAGGGCAATGGCAGCGCCCCTGGAGCCCCAGGGCCAGGCCCCTGGGGAAGGAGAGGGGCTTCTCATCGTCAAAGTGGAAGATTCCTCTTGGGAGCAGGACTGTGTCCAGGAGGAGGACGGCAGGGACACCGAGACGTGCCGCCAGCGCTTCCGGCAGTTCTGCTACCGGGACGCGCGCGGGCCCCACGAGGCTTTCAGTCAGCTCTGGGAGCTGTGCTGCCGCTGGCTGCGGCCCGAGCTGCGGACCAAGGAGCAGATGCTCGAGCTGCTGGTGCTGGAGCAGTTCCTGAGCGCGCTGCCCAGCGGCCTCCGGGGCCGGGTGCGCGAGCGGCGCCCAGGGAGTGGCGAGGAGGCCGTGGCCTTGGTGGAAGACCTGCAGGAGCAGCCGGGGGAGGCCGAGCAGCAGGTGAGGGGCCTCCACGTCCCAGTGCCGGTGTGTGGGGGCGTTGGCACCCAGATGACCCCTGAGCTGAAGGACGAGGCCTGTCCAGGGCTCGGTCTTCCAGGAGGCCCTTAGGGTCACCCAGGCACAGCACACACATGGTGGTCCTTTGAAGAACGCTGGCAGAAAGACAGAGGGGAGCAGTGGGGCCAGGGAGGGTAGCCTTCCCCTGCGTGGGGGTTCCCCAGTGCCCACTCGTGAGATACAGTGGCACATAGGGTCATAACTCCAGAGGGGGTCTGGGAAGGTAGGACTGTCCACGGGAGCCCACTGTCTTGCGAGGTGGCGGGTCTTGACACTGGCGGCTTCTGGGAGAGTGGAGTGAGAGGCGGGCTGTGGGCTCCGCCTTGGCCACAGGGCCGAGCCCCCCGCCAGGTGCTCTGTGACTTGGCCTTGGGGGTCTGGTTCTGGTCTTGTGGTTGATCAGGGAGGCCCTGGGTGCCCAACGCTGCCTGGTGTTCTGTTGCACTCGGATCGTACCTCCTTCCCTGCCCCCAGCATCCTCAGGGCTGTTTCCTGTGTCTCCTTCCCAGGGTTTAGACTCTGTCACCCCGGTCTGGGCTCCATGCTGACCAGCGTGTTGTGGTTCCTGCACAGGATGTGGCCTCAGAGAAAGTGGAACGTGAGCCCGCGGTCCAGGGGGTCCAGGCCGAGGGGCTGCCCCCAAAGATGGGGGTGCGGAGCCGGCTGCCCCAGGAGCAGCCCAGCCACAGTGGTGAGTAGGCCTCCCTGCAGGCTGCAGCAGCCCTGGGTGTGGTGGGCAGGGTGTACCTGCCTCCGTGAAGCCTAGGCACGCGTGTCTGTATATGCATGGATGTGTCTGGATATGTGAGGGCGTATGTCTGTGGGTAGGTGTCTGGCTATGGGTTTGCCTGTTTGGGTGTGTATGTGTCTGGATGTGGGTACATCTGTCTGTCTGTGTCTAGGTGTCGTAGGCTGGGGGTGTCTGGGTGTCAGGGCCTGGGAGTGTTGTGGTCTGGGAATGTCGTGGTCTTGGGGTGTCGGGCTCTGGGGGTGTTGGGGCCTGGTGGTGCCAGGGCCTGGGGGGATGTCTGGGCGTTGGGACCTGGGGGTGTCAGGGCCTAGAGATGTTGGGGACTGGAAGTGGTGGGGTCTGGGATCGTCGGGGTCTGGGGGTGTCTGGGTGTCAGAGTCTGGGGGTGTCAGGATCTTGGGGGGTCTGGGTGTTGGGGCCTGGGGCTGTCAGGGTCTGGGTATGGGAGGTTGCAGGGCTCCGTTCTAGCCTCAGCTGGCCTCCCTTTCTCTAGCCCAGCTCACTGTCGAGCCTCCTGCCCTTCTTAAGGAGGGGAGAGAAAGTCCTGGAGAGACTGCAGACGGCCTCCTTGCCCCCAGAGTCCACGTGAGTACCAGTGCCTCCATCCCCCTGAGGCCTTGGGCACTGTCTGTCCCTGAAAGGGGCCTTGGTTTCCCATTGAGGCCTCTTGTAGCCGTCCTGGTCCTGCCTGGCCCCTCTTTCCCCTCCCATGGCTGCCTAGCGTCCTGAGCAAGGCAGCTCTGAGCCGTGTCTCCTTGCCTCCTTCCAGGGACTGGTGACATTTGGGGACATTCCCTTCTACTTTTCCCAGGAAGAATGGGGGTCCCTGGACCCTGCTCAGAGGGATCTTTTCTGGGACATAAAGCGGGAGAACTCACGGAATGTCACTCTGGGTAAGCGGGGGATGCAACCAGGGCTGGGGGTCCTTGGCTCCTCCAAGATGGTCTGTAGCCTTCCCTGGGGTCCCAGCAGCAGAGGGCGCCCTGGCAGCCACGCTTCCCCGTTCACATCCTCATGGCTTCCTCCCCACCCTGCCCCCATCCATAGCTGTCGGGAGCCACCAGGCCCTGATCCCCGAACCCCATCCATAGCTGCTGGCAGCCAGTCTTCCCTGGTCCCCGTCCTGCAGCCCCTGGGACTCCTGCTGTGTGGACAGCTCACTCCCCTGTGCCCCTGCACGTGTATTAGTGGCAGAGTGCTGGCCACGGGCTGGCTGTGCCAGGCTCGTGTCTCGGTTGCTGCTCACCGCCCAGTGCGGAGGGGTTTCAGCTGTGAACGAGACCCGCCGGTGGGCCAGAGCTGGGGCTCCCAGGCTGCCGGTCCTGCGGAGAAGGGCCGCCTCTGCCTGGGGGTGCAGCAGGCCCACGGCGAGCGCACCTGCTGTGCGGCAGCGGCTCCCTTCTGCTAACCGGACTCTGGGTTTTAGGGGGCTTCCTGAGCACTGTTGTGGGGTCACCTCGTTTAATCCCTCGTTTAATCAGATGGTCAGGCTCCCTTCCTGTCCAGATCTCTGTTCCTGAATGTGGAGCCCAAGAGTTCTTCAAGGCTGATTTGGTATCTCCTTTGAGGTTGTGAGGAGAGCCTGGGTAACATGAGGAACTTACCTGAATCGCTTCAGTTTTGTGTTTTTTTTTTTTTTTTTCCTTGCCTGTCCCTGGCCTTCTGAGCTTTATCCCAGGGTAAATACTGCCCTGTGATCCGTCTGGTTGATGTTCTGAGGCGTGGGCACCCCCCTGCTGGTGCTGTTCACCTTACAGGCCTGTCTGCCTTTTGGCTGAAATTCAATGCTGGGCCTGAGGGGTGACTCAGGGCCACAGCCTTGGGGCTTCCACCAGTCTCCATCAGACCAGTCAGCCTGGTCTTTTTTAGGATTTTGTTTTGTTCCATGTTTTCCCCACTGTGTTGAGGGGAATCTGTTCATTTTGGAGTTTGGATAGGCAGGGTTCAGAGATGGGACCCTGGATTTGAGTGAAACCCAGGCAGGGCTTAGCTCTGAGACTGGCTCAAAGCCAAGGGCATGAGCAGTCGGCCTCCCTGCCCTCCACGCCGGTGTCCCTGGAGCCCACTCTAGACAGGGACGCTGAAGTGCTGGCCCGTCTGAGTCTGGAGCCGCCCCAGGTCAGCTCTGGCCCCAGAGCCCGGTGGGACTGATTGGGCCCTCCTCGTGCAGGTGTGGGGCTCAAATGCCAGAGCGGGAGCTCCCGGCTGGAGGAGGCCGTGACCCAGTCGCCCGCCCAGGCTGGCGGCCCCGCAGCTGTGTCTTGGAGCCCCGAGGAGGCCGAGGCCTGGGAGAGTGAGAACCGGCCCGGGGAGCCACTCGGCAGGGTGGGCAGCGCGCGGCGGGGTCGGCCGCCCACGCGCCGGCGGCAGTTCCGGGACCTGGCGGCTGAGAAGCCGCACGGCTGCGGGCAGTGCGGCAAGCGCTTCCGCTGGGGCTCGGACCTGGCGCGGCACCAGCGCACGCACACGGGCGAGAAGCCGCACAAGTGCCAGGAGTGCGAGCGCAGCTTCCGCAGCTCCTCCGACCTGGCGCGGCACCAGGGCGTGCACACGGGCCAGAAGCCCTTCTCCTGCCCCGAGTGCGGCAAGTGCTTCAGCCGCAGCGCTTACCTGGCGGACCACCAGCGCATCCACACGGGCGAGAAGCCCTTCGGCTGCGGCGACTGCGGCAAGAGCTTCTCGCTGCGCTCCTACCTGCTGGACCACCGGCGCGTGCACACCGGCGAGCGGCCCTTCGGCTGTGGCGAGTGCGACAAGAGCTTCAAGCAGCGCGCCCACCTCATTGCCCACCAGAGCCTGCATGCCAAGATGGCCCAGACAGTGGGGTGACCCTCCTGCGGTGCCAGGCAGCCGCCACCGTGCCTGCGCGGCCCGCACCGCGCCTCGGCCTTCTGGCTGCCAGCCCCCGGGGCTGCCGAGCCTCCCTTTGTTCTCACCCCCTCTGCTCCCTGTCACTCTGCCCCGCCGGGTGTCCTTGCCAGTGAAGTGTGGGGAAGGCTGGGGTGCAGGAAGCGATGCGAGGCCAGGTCTCGGTCCCCAACCCCCACAGCCCCTCCGACCTGGGGCTGCCCCTCCTGTCTCAGGTGGGTGCATGGCTGGGCTCTCTGCCCCTGCCAATCTGTGCCTTCCAGCGGGGCTGGAGGGTGTGGGGGTCTGGACCTTGGGTGAGACCAGGGGCTTCCAGCTCCCTTAGTGGTCCCCTCCCCTCCCATGTCCGGGGCCCCCTGCCCGGTCCTGGAGACATGAGCTATCTGCCTCTTTGGCACTTGGGCCCAGCTGTGCTCCTGAAGGCCTCTCACTAACCAGTCTGGTGAGGGTGGTGGTGGCTCTGGGGACAAGCAGCCAAGCCTCAAGGCCAGGGGCAGGGCTGGCCCCCGGAGAGGTCTGGGCTTGATTTCATTGGACATTAGCACTTGGTCAGCACCAGGCTGACCCCTTAGGCACTGCATTCCGTCCCGTTCATCTGTTCATTTGCAGTCCTGCATTAACAGGGACAGGCCGCTGAGACCCTGCTGGGCACTGAGCCCAGCTCTTGAGGACCACGGCGGGGCTTGAATAAAGGAGAGAACGTCCCTCCAGGCTGCTCTGTTCTTTGGGGGGTGGGGGTGGAGCTTCCTGCCCTGGTCGTCCTGTCGGCTTGTGACATTGGGCCTTCTCCAGGGTGAGCTTCACCCTGGCTTTCAGGCTGGCTGGGCCCCAGAGGGCAGCCCCAAGGCCTGGCCCTCCATCCTTTATAGCACCCGGTCTGGGACAGCAGGTGGCACTCCTCCCCCACCGGCAAGACGTGGGACAGGTGGTTTCCCCAGGCCTCTGCTGTCCCCACTGGTGTCAGAGACAGTAGTGTCATGGCCCAGGGTTGTGGTGCTGCAGGTGTGGACCTGGAGCGCTGGCCCCACCCACCATCCCTGGAAGGAGACAGCCAGCATCCAGGCGGCCCCGCCCAAAGCCCAGCGCTTGCCTGAACCCCAGATTGTGGCCTCCACAGTTGGGTATGGGTCCAAGCTTCCGGTCACCAAGGAGCAACCCCTTCTTCGCCCCTTGCTGAGCCCTGGGCAGTGGCCTGAGTGCACGCTGCGGGAGGGGAGGCGGGGACGGGAGGCGGGGACGGCAGAAACGGGAAGTTCTTGTCCCTGGGTAATTGGCCTGTGGCCCCCCACACACGCATCCTCAGCAGCCCAGCTCACCACACTTCGTTCTGAGGTCAGTGGCTGGCTGGGTGGCCCCGTGCCTCACTGAGGACCCCCGGGCCACTCTGTTACCACTTCTCTCAGGGCTCCAGACCCGGACCTCCTTGGGCTTGGTGCATATGTGCATGTGTGCAGGCGAGTTCTGGGGAGGTCAGGGCCAGGGGCAGGGCACGGAGCCTGCAGGACTGGTGGCTGGCTCCACAGGGAGCTGTCAGGTGTAACGAGATCAGATAGGATCGTGGGCCAGGAGCTAAGAATAGGACGTGGTGGGGGTGCTCAGCGCCAGCTGGGACGTCTTCCGGAGCAAGACACGGAGCGAGGTCTGGGGAGAACGCCCCAAGCTTCTAGGGGCAGGAGTCCAGGCCAGCTCATAAACGGCTGATAGGGACGCGGCTTGAGCGAGGGCAAGGGTTGGAACCCAGTCACAGGGCCTGGGCCCGGCGGGCACTTGCGGGAAGCTCTGCTGGCACCATGGCCTTCCTGGTGGCCGGGACCCTGCGGGTGGCCGCCCAAGTGGCAGATGCTCGGGAGAGCCTCGGGAGAAAGGTAGCAGGAGCCCTGGTCCAGCCTGCGCCTGGCCCCCGGCTGCGCCCAGCCCAGCCCAACCCTGGCTTTGCCTCCCCAGGGGAGGTACAGCATGCTGGGCCCAAGGGTGGCCCTGGTGCTCAGCAGCCCGGGGGCGCCAGCCGCCACAGTTGCCGTCCTGGAGGCCGTGCTCCAGGCCCTGGGCTTTGACCGTCTGCAGCAGAGGGAGGCCCCAGTTCAGGTGAGCCCTCGCCCCCAGCCCCCAGGCCCCCAGCACCTGCCTTGGGGCCTGAGGTTAGGCCCCTGCTCTTGCCCCCAGGGCTTTCTGGAGGAAGTGGCTCAGTTCCGGGAGCAGCTGGACACCCATGGGGGCCCCATAGGCTGTGCTCTGGTGGCTTTGGTGGCCCCCCGAGGACAGCTGAGGTGGCCCCAGAAGCTGGCCAGGGAGCTGAGTTGCTGCGGGGCCCTTCGGGGCTGCCCCAAGCTCTTCCTGCTGCTTTCCCATAGTCGGGGCGGTGAGTGGGCCCAGCAGGGACCGTGGGTGGAGACTAGGCAAAGTCAGCCCGGGACGGTGCGGAGGGACAGGCAGGACTGGGGTCCCCGGGGACCTTTCTCCATGCCCACATGCTGTCGCCTCCCCAGCCACCCCCGAGCCTGGAGCCTTCCTCTCGGGCCTGGCCGAGCTCTGTGGCCGCTGTCCTCACTGGTCCCTGCTGCAGCTGCTGACGGAGGTGGGGGCTGGCCGGGCGCTCCTGAGCCCGCCACTCGGTGACATCACACTCCTGCCAGCCGTTCATGCCACCAGCCCTGTTGTCTCCCCGTTGTGTCCTCCTCCTTGGCCTCCGCTCCCATCCTGCGCTGTGCCCCACTCACAGCACGCTCAGGGACCCCCCAAACATTCGGGCTGCTCACCCCATGCCTTTGCCCGGGAAGCGGTTCCCTCTGCTGGCACGCCCCCTTCTGCCTCCCCTGCCAGCCCCGTCTCTTCCCAGCTCTGGCGCAGGCGTCTCCTTTGTCCCTCCCACGCTCAGGCAGGTGGTGACTGTCCTCCTGTTAGACCGCAGCCTGGGTGACTCCGGTCTGGCCCTGAGGCCTGCAGGTCTCACTGGGGAGTTGGGGCCCCTGGGCACCCCTGGAGTTGAGAGGCATGGCCCGTGCTGCTTTCTGCTCTTTGCGAACCATTCCAGGGGGCACACGGGGCCTGTGCCCTGCCCTGCCCTGGGGGAGCCCCGCCCCTGTGCACGCAGAGCCCCAGGGACAGTATGAGGTGTGGCCACTAGCCACCAGGCCCAACCAAGTCATGACCTTGAGCCTGCACTAGAACTTGGGTCCTGGGTCTTTCGGCCTTGCCTTTCCCCTCTCGTCTGCCTGCCTCTCTCTCTGGCAAGTGGCCCTAAACACACTACAGTAGCCAAGTACTGGCCACCTGCTTCCGCTGGGACCCCTGGGACCCTCCCCCTCCCCCGTGGAACAGCCACCTGAGGGGCCCTTGGCCCCGCCCCCCAACAGGTCTTCCGAAGGATGACTGAGGCACCCACAGGGGTCAGCTCCTGCCCAGTCCTTCGCAGCTCCTTGCGGGGTGCGCTGTGCCTGGGAGGCGTGCAGGCGTGGGGGCCCGAGGTGAGTGGGGATGGGGCTAGGGTTCCGTCCTGTGGTCACAGCTGAAACTGGGTCACAGAGGGCAGGGGAACCTCTCTGACTCCTCTGGACGGGCCTTCACCCTCCACACAGCCGGAGTTCGGTCCCAGGGCACAGTATGACCTATCTGGGACCAGGTCAGCTCTCCTCCTGGCCGTGATGCAAGACCGGCCTGGGGCCCAGTGTGACGTGGAGGCTCTCGGGGACCTGTGTCGTTCCCTGGGCTTCGAGACCACTGTGAGGATGGATCCTACGGCCCAGGTGAGAGGAGATGGAACTTCTGTAGAGGCAGCTCTGATGAAAGCCAGCCCTCCCCTAGGACCTGGAAGGCAGGAAGTGCACCCACAAGTCTAACCTCCAACCTCCCTGCCTCATGCCTTTGGAGTTTACTCCCAGAGTTCCTTGTGGCCGCCCACACTGGTTCCTTTGGTCCCCAGCACAAGGCCCCAGCTAAACCCTCAAGCATCATGATTTCGTTCCTGGGCACCCATCAGCCCATCCCCTCCTGACGCCTCTTAACTCCCTGGAAGCCGGGGCCAGACAGTGCTGGCTGTGGGGGACTGGACTGGATGCAGCTCCAGTGGGCAGTGTCTGGCCGTGCAGCAGGGGCTCAAGAAAGGGCTTCTCTTGGGCCCAAGGCCAGCCGGGAGCAGTCAGGAGCAGGGCAAGCCGGCGCCAGGCCCAGGCCTCACTCTCGGCCCCCACCCCTGTCACAAGGCTTTCCAAGAGGAGCTGGCCCAGTTCCGGGAGCAGCTGGACACCCGCAGGGGCCCCGTGAGCTGTGCCCTGGTGGCTCTGATGGCCCACGGTGGTCGGCAGGGACAGTTGCTGGGGGCGGACGGGCGAGGGCTGCGGCCGGAAGTGCTGGTGCAGGAGCTAAGCTGCTGCAGGGCCCTGCAGGGCCACCCCAAGATCTTCCTGCTTCAGGCCTGCCGTGGGGGTGAGTGGGGGGCCCGGGGCCCACTTGGAGATCCAGCTGGTCCCTTCCTTAGCCTGCCTCCTCCAGCTCTGGCTTTCTTCCTCCATGACCTCTTGGACTTGCTGGCCACCTCCTCCAGGAAGCCTGCACACTGGCCCTCCCTGGCCACTTCTGCCATCCACGCCTCGGCCCCACGCACCTGAGCACTTACCCACCAGTGCATGACCATGTGCTCTGGATAATTCCAGCCTAGCAGGCCTGCCCTGAACTCTGGGGGCTGGGCTCTCCCCACAGTTCACACAGGCTCAGGACCCTGGGAGGCACCCCCAGGTATCGGCCCAGTGAAGGTCCCTACTCCTCCACTTCCCCAGGGCGCAGGGACTCTGGTGTGGGGCCCACTGCTCGCTCCTGGTTCTGGCGCTGGCTGCGTGCACCTCCGGCCATCCCCTCCCACGCCGATGTCCTCCAAGTCTATGCTGATGTTCAAGGTGAGTGCTGCCTCCCGGAGCCTGGTTCAGGCAGGGCTGGTGGTGAGAACCTTCCAGAAGCATCTCCTCACTCAGAGGAGGGAAGGCAAGGCTCCCTAAATTGCTGAGGGCATTGCTCCTACTTGAGTTGCTTTTCTGAGTGGGTCAACGGCAGAGGTGGGATCTGAACCCTGAACTCTTGTCTTTTCTGCCCCGTGTGCTTCCCACTGCCCTGGGCTGCCCTTGTGGTGGTCCAGCCGTCTGGGACCCCCTGCGGTAACCCCCTGCAGGATTGCAGTAACAAAACACCACAAACTGGGAACTTGTGAGAGCAGAAATGGGCTGCCTCACAGCTCGGAGTGTGGGAGTCCGAGATCAAGGAGCAGACCGTGTTGATTCCTTCTGAGGCTTTGAGAGTCGCTTCCCTGCGTCTCTCTAGCTTCTGGTAGCTGCAGGCAATCCTTGGCTTGCAGCTTTAGAATAACGTGATGTTCGTCTTTCTGGTTGTCTCTCCTCTTTATAAGGACACCAGTTAGAGGATGAGGGCCCACCTTACTCCAGTGTAACCTCATGTTGACTGATAACATCTTCCATGATTCTATTTTCAAGCAAAGTTGCGTTCACAGACACTGGGGATTAGGACCTCAGCGTAAACTTTGGAGGGGCACAACTCAATTCATATCAAGTGGGGAGACCCCCCCAAGGGCCTGGGGGAATCACAGGATGCCAAGTAAGTGGGGTTGCCTGCTCTTGCAGGGAGCTCCTCCGGGGCGCCCCCTCCAGGGACCTCGGACCATGCAGACATCCTGATGGTCTACGCAGCAGCCGACGGTAAGGGAGGGTCATCACAAAGCCCGTGTCCATGCAGGACCTGACTTCTTGGTCTAAGGTCTTGAGTGGCTCTAGGGACAGCCTTCTTGGAAGTTGGGGGACAGGGGTCACCAGCTCGGTTGCAGTTCAGCCACCTTTCCCCCATGCCCTGTCTTTGTAATAACCACGGTGAGCAGGTATTGGGTGCTGGGTGTGCCCACCACCTTGCTGGCACTGTTGCCCCTAGACTGGACGCTCCACGCCAGGAGGGATCTGTTGGTCCCAGGGTCCTGTCCGGAGCCTGGCACGTAGCAGTTGCACAGTTAATCCTTGCTTAGATATTGAATCTATCCACACGTTCACTTTGCAAATTCTGGGCAGCCAGGTGTTCCCTGATCCCTCACGACATCCCGTGGGTCCTGTCTGCTTGCTGCTTCCCTCCCCCACCTGCCCCACCAACAGGCTCTGTGGGGGAGGGGAGAGGGCCCGGGTGTGAAGCACCTGGTCCCCTGGCCTAGGCTATGTGGCCTATCGGGATGAGAAGGGCTCCGATTTTATCCTGACGCTGGTGGAGGTCGTCAGAGCCCATCCCGGGAGAGATCTTCTAGAACTGATGACTGAGGTATGTGTAGGGAGGGGATGGGTGGTGGAGGTGGGCGACAAGGGGCTGGACTCCGTCCTTCCCCACGCCCTCCGCCAGGGGCTGCCCACTGGTCGCCGGGAAGAGCCCCACGGTGGGGAGTCCTGGGCAGTGGCCACGCGTGATGCTCGCAGGTCAACAGACGGGTGTGTGAGCTGGACGTGCTGGGCCCCGACTGTGACCAACCCCGCAAGGCCTGCCTGGAGATCCACAGCTCACTGCGGCGCCGGCTCTGCCTGCGGGCCTGACCCAGCCTGGCCCGGGTGCTGAGCCTGGGTGGTCAGATCCCAGGGTCCCACTGATGGATTCCACCCAGGCTGCGGTTCATGTGCTCCCCGGGCGTGAGTGCCGGGCGCCGGCGCTTAGTCTGCATGCAATAAAGATCCTTGTGCTACTGAGAGCTGCCTGCGCTAGGAGCGTGAGCACCACCGAGGGGCGCTCTGCACGCGCGCACTCGTGTCCCTGGGAGCCAGAGAGCAACACCGCCAGCGGGGCCCAGCGCTCTGCATGACCGACCCGCGGGGAGAGGCCCTGGGAATAGGCAGCACCCGCGCCCCCACCTCTGCACACGCACGCACCCCACTTCCACCTTGCGCTGGGGCCGTGGAAATGGAGACACGCCCCGAGTCCCATCTGGGACCCACAGAGCCTAGGACAGACCACTGCAGTTCCCGGGGCCGTGATGGGGACGCTCGGGGCATGGGAGAGCAGCACGAGCCCCTGGCTCAGCGGCCACCGGGCCGGGTCCTTGAAGAGAGAAATTGGGTCGCCGAACAGAAGGGCCTGCGGAAGTGGGGCAAGGGGAAGGGCAGGTGGCTTCCCCAGGGCTCGAACTCTCAGCCCAGGAACTGCCGCCGCGCGTTCTCGCCGAGAGCCCCTGCTGCACCGCGAGGGTGGCTCGGAGCTCCGCCTACATGGTACCCTGAAGGGCGGGGGCAGATCTCCTCCTCGGGCATGCGCACTAAAGCACGCCGGAAGGCGCTTGCGCAAACTTTATGAAGCGAACTGCGCAGACAAAAGCCGTGGGGCCGCGTGGCCTAATGGATAAGGCGTCTGATTCCGGATCAGAAGATTGAGGGTTCGAGTCCCTTCGTGGTCGCTGCTGCAGTTCTTTTTTTTTTTTTTTTTTTCTCACTTTAAGTTTTTCTCTTCCGCTGGGGTTGCGATCCAGGTTGCGCAACCTGTTTGCTCCGCAATGGGGACTGGGGACTGGTCCCGGGGAGCTGGAGAACCCAGGGCCGGGACTGCCGCCGGGGGTGGTGGTGGAGGAACGGAAGCGTTGGGGATTAACGGTGGCCTGTGTGACCTGGATGGGTGTCGGACAGGAACCCCTGTTCCAAGGCGAGCCCCTCGGTCCTGGACGCTCTCGCACCACAGCAGTCCCCCCGGGAACGGGCTGACTGAGGAGGGCGCAGGTCCTGGAGAGGCCCCCCGCCAGGGCAGCCGCGATGACAGGTGGATGGAAATGGGGCCACGTCTTTAGACTCCAGCATTGCTCTGTGACTATTAATTCTGTTCCAGGAACGTTTCCTGAATCCTTATCCTTGTGTGCTCAAAGACATGGAATATTTACTTACGTTGATAGGGTCGCTCATCGCGAATTGGCTAAATAAATTATAACTCGGACGGTGGAAGCTGACAGACTAGGAATTGGGATTGTTGGGGGTCAAAAGATACGTGCATTTAAAAATCTGATTGCATAGATTTCTTGCAGCGAATATGTACCCTCGAATTGCTGGTGTAAATGTATATTTAAATGTTAAAATGTAAATAATGTCTAGGCCTGAGTCAACAAAAAGGACAACAAAAGCCTCTGCGAGCCGAGACCGCGTTTTCCCGGTTCCGGTTCAGCCGGGCCAGTCTAGCTGCAGGGCGGCCGCCCGTTGGGGTCCGAGCTGCGCCGACCTGCCGCTAAAGGGCGCTGACGATCCGGGTCACGCTCCTTTATCCTCCTCGCGACATTTCAGTGCTTTACTGAGCTTGTGAACATAAGGAAAAGAAACTTCATAAGGTTAAGAGTTTTAAAGATGATGGGGCAGCTGGAAGGGAGAAGAACAATTTTTTTTTTTCCAAAGCAGCCAGTATAAAAGGTGCGCCCAACGTGGGGCTCGAACCCACGACCCTGAGATTAAGAGTCTCATGCTCTACCGACTGAGCTAGCCGGGCAACTTCCAGGAGGCCCCAGGAGGGCTCTTAATGAACGATTTAGAGTCATGGAGTTTGGTCAAAGAAAGTAGGAGCCGGGTCAGGAGCAATGGGGGAGAGGGGTGAGGAAAGGGGTGGACACCCCCTGACTCTCCCTCCGGCAGAATAACTTAGCACCGGAGAGTACGCGTGGGGTCCCCTCGCGTGTTCAGCATCGCAAACACCTTCTTCTCGACAAGGTAAAAGGAGACTTAAAGGACCCGAGCCCGGGACATCTCTCTCCCTAAGCAAGAACCATAGCCTCGACCAACGAAGCAACGAGGAAGCGCGCCCTCTGTGAGCTCCATCCGCATTGTGCGCCGTCTCTTCGGCGTCCGGAGACTGTTCAGTGTCGGGGAGGTGGGGAGAGAGCGTGGGCAGAGGATGGACGCTGAGGGGCCGGGGAAACGGCGGGAAAGCTACCCGCAGGTTGTGCAGGAACCGCGGCGAGGGGGCGGGGTAACTGTTCTGCGCTCAGTGAGAGAGCGCGTGCGCCCGCCCCGGTGGCCTAATGGATAAGGCATTGGCCTCCTAAGCCAGGGATTGTGGGTTCGAGTCCCACCCGGGGTACAGTGAGCCTGACTTTTAGACTCCAGAGCACGTCAGTGACATTACATCGGGCACAAATCACGGTGTGTGGACCGAGTCAGCAGATGATCCCACCGCAGGCCTAGGCAGAACGCGAGAGTTCTTTCTCAGGTAAGAAAGGCTCCCTTTTCAGCACAAACATTGTGACGTTCAGACTTTTTAAACCATTCACTCCATTTGATGGTATAAAGGAGTCATGGTTCTTTTTTCTAGATGTGCTAATTGTTTTGTGGTCACTTGTATATTTTTTGGTCACATCTTTTCAACTTTCTTATCTTTATCAATATATACTGACTGTGTAGACATTTGTGACAGCTAATTTGCTTGACAATAATGGGCTAGGTGGGTATAAGTCAGTTGATAACAGCATAAGCTGGGAGACATGTGGGTTAGTTCGACTCTTTCCTCGGTTTTGGAGTATGTTTAAAATAGTCCACCATAAAACTTGCTTGTTTTTGTTTTTAAATCCATGTCATACATGTCTTCATCCTGGAGGTGAACCTCTTCTATGGGGGAGGGGCCTCCCCAGAGGTGGCGAAGGCTGGAGCTTTGTCAATTACATGCATAAAAGCATAGCTCCCTTTGACCATTAAAAACTGTGACAAGTAAGAACAACCAAAGAAAGAGATGGATAAATCAGGCTTCATCAAAATTAAAAATTTCAGTGCATCAAGCAAGTGACGAGACAAGACATAAAATGGAAGCGAATAGTTGGGGACTATATATAAGGCACTTGACTGCTAACCAGAAGGCTGGCGGTTCAAACCCCCCAGCCACTCCTCGGAAGGAAGATTAGGCATTCCTACTTCCGTGGGAGCTCTGGTAGCAAAGTGGCTAAGACACTTGCCTGCTAACCAGACGGCTGGTGGTTCAAACCCACCAGCCACTCCTCGGAAGGAAGGTTGGGCAATCCTACTTCCGTAGTGATACTGCCTCGGAAACCCAAGGAGGGGTCGCTATGAGTCGGGGCCGACTCGACGGCACATAACAACAACAACAACAACTTCCGTAGTGATACTGCCTCGGAAACCCAAGGAGGGGTCGCTATGAGTCGGGGCCGATTCGATGGCAAATAACAACAACAACAACATATATCTGATAAGGAAGCTCTGGTAACGTAGTGCCTAAGGCATCTGATTCCTAACCAGAAGGTTGGGGGTTTAAACCCACCGGCTGCTCTGTGGAAGGAAGACGCGGCAATCTACTTCTGCAAAGATTTCCCCAGTGGGGGTTGCTATGACTCTGCGTCCACTCAATGGCAGTGGGTTTGGTTTTTGTTTTTTTATGCGTCTAATAGGGTTTAATGTCCAGAGTATAAAAAGAACCCTTACAAGTGAACAACACACAGGCAGCCGCCCAATCAACAGCCCATCTCCCTGAAGCCTCTCCCACTGCCAGGCCGCCTGCAGAGAAGGCCACCCTCAGCAGCTGCTTCCCCACTAACTGTTCCTCAGCGGCTTGGTGAGGGCCCGCCCTCTGGTTCTCTCAGAGGGTGATGACTGTGTCCGCCAGCACTGCCCTCCAGCACTGCCCTCCCACTGATCTTTGGGAGCTCTGGTGGCGCAGTGGTTAAGGCACTGGGCTGATAACCAAAAGCTCCGTCGTTTTGAACCCACCAGCCTCTTCATGGAAGAAAGATGAGGCAGTCTGCTTCCATAAAGGTTTGTTGCTGTTAAGTGCCATCAAGTCGGGGGTCACTCCTTGGCTTTCCGAGGCAGTGTCACTATGGAAGTAGATTGCCCAACCTTCCTTTCCAGGAGTGGCTGCTGGGTTTGAACAGCCAACCTCCTGGTTAGCAGTCAAGTGCCTTAGGCACTAGGCCACCAGAGCTCCCCCGTAAAGGTTTACAGGCTTGGAAACCCGATGATGGTCACTGTTGAATCAACTGGAGGGCAGTGAGTTAATCTTTGTATTCCTTCCTCCGCATTATGCCAGAGACATCCTAGAGACCAATTTCATTAAACATGGGCCACATCGCTGAGTTCAAATTTCAGTCAGCCAACCAAACATGAAACCCCATGTTCAGTGGAGAGAACGTATCAATAAGAGCTCTGTGGGATCCGTGTGCTCCTGGGCCGTAAATGCACCAGGCACTAATTCCATCCCGTCCTCCTTCGTCCAACATGCTAAGAACCGTTTCCACACACATCCCCCAGGTTTCTGCGGCATCCATGAGACGACCTTGGCCTTCTTGTGCTGTATAGACCATTTCCTTCCACTCCGACTTTGCACTTGCTCCGAAGCAGGCTGAGATCTGACTCTAGTTGTAGGTCAGGAGGTAATCAATCCGGGGTGGGTGGTATGGGCTTTGAGAAAAATTGGCATTTTCTCACAAGGCAACTGCTCCAGATAAGATTATTATGGGATATTCGAGCAAAGGAGGGCTAATCTCAGACACCCGGGGACAAACAGCTTTCATCGTCAGGGGAGGCTCAGGGTTCAAGGTTTGCATCTTGGTCTGAGCCCGTTCAGAAGT